CATGAGGCTGAACCAGTGTCAACCAGAACAGCAGGATTATCAGCCAGCTCACCTATGAGAAATGAAGGTCAGAGATGCCAGACACTCCACTTTGCAGATCATGCACCGGTGCTTTAACATCTTAACCCAGGCAGCTCACTTCCCCAGCGGAGCCAATAAACTGTTGGTTTGGGCCCGATTTCTTTGATGATTTGTAATGTATTCAGTTAATTAATTTTTGGATGTAATTTTGATTTGTTAATTGGTTTTGAATAAAAAGGTAAATTCAATGAAGTGTTGAGATTCACAGATTACTTGTCCGTCTTTCGTTTGTCTGCATGGAGCCTGATCAGAAATACATATTTCCAGGGTTTTCTCCTGGGACAGTGGGCTTGGCACTGCTGAATTGAAGTTTACAAGGATTAATGAATTGCTTAAAGCAGGTACAGGATTCTCAAATGTTTGGAGTATGGGTAGGTGAAAGTCAACTCAAAGATGTAGAAATTACATTGAGGCCTCTGAACGATCTGACAGCTAACAGGCTGAATGTGTCCAGTCAGAGAAAGGCACATGACTGGAACTCACTCCCCCAAGAGAAACAGAGAGCAGCGGAAAAACAAAGAGGCACGATTAAGGGACAACTCCTCTCACAGCTGATTGGCAGAATAAGTTTTCATTCAAAGGCTGGTGCATGACTTGAACTCACTCCCCAGAATATTAACAAACAAACAGAGATGATCAATGAAAGGTACTGTTGCTGATGAGTCACTTGGCTACTCCCGTCAATTACTCTACATGTACCATACCACCACTGCTACATGTGCAATTCACCTACATGTAGGTTACCCAGTGCAACATGGATGTATTTCTTATCTTCATCTGTCAGCCCACAGTCTCTGAGATCCAGGTACATGTACCTTAGGGACAATGCATGGGTTAGATGAATGCACCATAAAGCTGCGGTACCACCAAGGTTATTACCAGAAACATCCAATGAAACCAAGTTGGGTAGATCCTTGAGACCCTCAGCAACACGTACCATGTCCAGTCCATTTAATGAGCAGGCCTTCAAGCCTAGGCATTGTAGGGGCTTGAGCTCCTTCAGATGCATTCCCCATGATGCTGCCGTACCGCCCAGATTATTACCAGAGAGATTCAAGAAAACCAAGTTGGGTAGATCCCTCAGTGACTCTGCAACATGTACCACGCCCAGTCCGCTCAATGAGCAGTCATTCAGCGACAGATTTTTCAGGGGCTTGATGCGCTTCAAATGCATGGACCATGATTCAGCTGTACCACCCAGGTTATTACTTGAAAGATATAATGTAGCCAAGTTGGGTAGGTCTCCAAGTGACTCTGCCACATGCACCAAGTCTTGTCCAGTCAATGAGCAGTAACTTAGCAACAGATTCTGGAGGGGCTTGATAAGCCTGAGATACATTGACCATGATTCAGCTGTGCCAGCCAAGTTATTAAAAGTTATAGTTAGTTCAACCAAGTTGGGTAGATCCCCAAGTGACTCGGCAAGATGTACCATGTCCTGTCTATTGAAAAGGCAGCGACTAAAGGTCAGCTCTTGAAGGGGCTTCAGCGCCTTCAGATGCATCCCCCATGATGCTGCTGTACCACCCAGGTTATCAGAAAAAAATAGTTTCACCAAGCTGGGTAGATCACTGAGTGACTTAGTGATGTGTGCTATGGTCTCACAGTTCAAGCAAGTAGTGAATTCTGCCTCGCGTAGATTTGTCATTGCACTCAGAGCAATGCCCAAATGCCTGACACACCTTGTCAAATTACCAAGCAAAACCCTAAATTTTTCAACTTTTGCAAGGTGATGAGCATTGCCACTGTCCTGAGCAAAACATTTCAGAAAGTATGTTACCGAGTTGAGACTGTCATTATCAAGACCTTGAAAGATGATGCTATCAGGTATGAGAGAGCGTATGAAATCCTCAGGAGGCAAAATCTTACATTGACCTTCAAAAAAACAGTGAAGAGCCAACTGACCGACCTGTAAATCAACGGACAAATCCTCCTCATTACACTCCTCTTGCAATACCTTTATTATCTCAAATGTGCATGCCTCATTTCTACCACAACAAAAGCGCAGAAGGTTCTCAAAATCCATTGGACCTTTTGACACAATCTTACTTAGAGTCTTCTGAAATTCTACTCTGTCTGCTTTAAACAAGTTTTGGTAGTATAATGCAGCACAAAATTCCTGAAACGTTTTATGAATGAACTGCACACTGCTGTGAGGTATTCGGCTCTTAAGGACTCTCTGTCTGGTCAAAATACCGGCTTTTACAGCAAGGCTAAGCACACCCGGCTCAAAGTCACTTTCTTTAAAGCACAGCACTTGATCTGGGGAAAGAAGACCTTGTAATCCAACCTTGCCAAGTTTAATCACCACCCTGTTCATTTCTTGTTCTGAAACATCTTTTCTTTTGCCAATTTCATTAACTGCGTTGTGGTAGAAGCGTGACATTGTTTCTGGAAGTTTGGAATCTTCACTCCACAGGGAACACATCATGAGAAGCAACATGGGACTCTCGGCTGAAACTGACAAAAGGTTTGAGGATCTAATCCTTGTCAGAAGTTCCTTTGCCTTAGTAGGTTCATCACAGTAAAACTTGTTCACATACTCAGTGATGTCTTCTTTACTGAACCCCATGACCCTGACATGTGTGAATGGTGGTTGAATCAGTTCCTTTGTTGTCAATCTGTCTAAGTGGGAGGGGCGGGTGCTCACAAGTACAGTGCAACCTCTACACATCCTACGATTGAGTATTTTCAGTATGGAACCAAATGACGATTTGTTGAGGGAAGTGGTCCTCAACTCATCAAAGCCATCCAAGAGAATGAGGACTTTGCCAGAATTCATCTTGATGTATGACCCCAGAGCATTCCTGTCTATACTTGTGTCTTCTGCTAGGAGTTGGTCAAAAACTGCATCAATAAGATCCGACTCCTGCTTCAGATCACACATTTTCAAAAGGAAGAGCAGTTTATACTTCTGTAAGACCTTGCAAGAGCCAACTGCCCAATCATACGCAATCTTGTCAAAAAGAGTGGTCTTTCCTCTACCAGCCAGCCCACTTAG